CGTCGAGAGGAGCCAGTTGAGGTGGCTTGGGCATCTGGTCAGGATGCCTCCTGGACGCCTCCATGGTGAGATGTTGGGATTCCCCCGGAGGAACTGGAACAAATGGCTGGAGAGAGGGAAGTCTGGGCCTCCCTTCTTAAGCTGCTAGATGGATGGAACTAAGGGCTTCTGGAAAACAGCCACACACCATAATCCCACTTGCAGTCAGACAAGTACCATTCTCCAGGCAACTGCCAAACCCAGATTCATTCATCAGATTGCCAGATGGAGAAGTGATTCATCACTCCAGAGAATGCGCCTCCACTGCTCTAGAGTCCAGTGGAGGCGTGCCATACACCACTGCACCCGACGCTTTGCATTGCACTGGGTGAGGTATGCCTTGGATGCAGCTGCTCCACCATGGAAACCCATTCCATGAAGGTCTCCATCTGCTGTTCTTGAGCTAATCTGAAGGCCACATGAGATTTGAAGGTCTGTAGTGATTGACTGCAGAAAGTTGGTGACCTCTTCACACTGTGTGCTTTAGCTGACCGTCAGTTTACGTGGCCTACCACTTTTTGGCAGAGTTGCTGTCGTTCCCAAACACTTCCATGTTGCTATAACACAGCTGAAGGTCGACTGTGGAATAATTAGGAGTGAGGAAATTTCACAACTGGATTTGTTGCACAGGTGGCATCCTATCACAGTTCCATGCTGGAATTCACTGAGATCCTGAGAGCGAGCCATTCTTTCAAAGATGTTTGGAAAGACAGTCTGCATATTTAGGTGCTTAATTTTATACACCTGTGGCCATGAAAGTGATTGGAACACCTGATTCCGATAATTTGGATGGGTGAGCAAATACTTTTGGCAACATAGCGTATGTGCAGCAGTACTGTAGACATTTAAAAGTGCCTGATTTAGAGTCTTCAAAACAGGTGATATAAAATAATTATAGTCCAAATGTAACAATGTATAAAACAAATACATGTTGACAAAATATACAGGCACATTCAATAAATTAATTTTAGATTCATTCAAATGAGATGCATAAAAAGTACTTTAAAAAATCTTTCAGTAGTTACTGAAAATACTTTTTATTGTGCTCTAATACCTGTGTTAAAATGTTATTTATTGTTGTGATGTAATATTCTGATCTTAAATGTCATGATTTAATTAGCTGTTAGCAGGAAATCATCAACATTATAACAGTAATAAAACCTTGAAAACATCAGTCTGTGTGGAATTAGTCGATTTAGTGTGTCACTCAGTGATGGAGTCATTGTAATAAGTTAACTTATTACTGTGAATCTTCAATCTATTTGTGACACCTGCCTAATTCTTTCTGGCTACAGGGAGGACTGATGCCCCTCTGCAGAAGTTACTAGGTGAGAATACACCCTGGACAAGCTTCCAGTCAATAATTCAATCAATTAACAATTGATTAGCTATGTAACTGACTAAATTTATCATAAAAACCCAATTTATTAAATCAACCAAACTGGGAATCATCGTTTTGTCTTACCTGGTGTAATAGTAGGTGGTGGTCCAGAGTCTTTCACAGCTGTCCAGTCCACAAGGAAGCCTCGTCCTCCCACTACTGAATCTGATTTGAAGTGCAAGGTGACAGTGCTTCCTGAACTTCTAAGTGGAGTTGGTAAGTTCAGACCACAGAATGTTCCGAGAGGGTAGGAATAAACATCTGGACCATCAAATATCTGGAGAGAAATAGAGATTTTTGACACCCAAAGACACCAATATTATTTTTACCTGGCTTGTGGCATATGTCCAGAGCCTCTAATGTCCAACTCAGAGGCTTTGTAAAATATTTCAGTTGTACAGTAAGAGTGTACAGGCACAAAATGCCATGCCATCCAAAATGCTTTCCAGTTCCAATGGCAAAACAAGGACCAAACTGATAGTAATAGGTACAGTTTTAATGGTAATATTATCATTGTCAGTTGGGTTAAACTTAACCATCTACTTATAAACAGTCAAACATACAAAATTTATATGGCAACATCTAACTGGTGGACAGATACCAGAGGTTACTCTATTTCCAGAATCTATTTTGAAATCATAATCTAAATATACAAGAAACTTCCATCCAGTTATGTAGCACAAATCGCATGTTTTGTGCTAAACATGTTAACCAATCATTTTACTGGAATATAATCTGATACGATCATAAAAAACATGTGATAATATAGCAGACAAAGTCTTACTTTTAATTGGTCATAGTAGCAGTTATAGAGGTCCTCTATGTCCATGTCCAAAAAGCTGATCTGAATGTAGCTGTCCCCTTCCACTGTTATGGTCCATCTGTAATTGGCATTATTGGGATATGTCCTGGGAAACAGTGGCGATGCAATCTGACCCGATTCTCCCACCAAATCAACCCCGTACACTGAGGAACACAGACAAACTTGAAGGTTAGGTTGGCAGTTCATCCCAAGTTTGGTTTATCTATCACGTTGCTATTTATTGATGAGAAAAATTAGGTTTTCATAAAAATTGTGTTTTTAACATTCTGGATATAGCTTATGGAGTATTAGAGAATGTTGTTTTGTTGGCTTCCATAGGTTTTTCCTCTCAGAGGAGAGGAGAGGAAAAAAATGGCTTGTTTACATAAACTCCAGGAGATTTGAGATAGCCAGCCAGGCAAGGCTAACACAAGGAAGCCAGATTCAGAATAAACATTTTATGTAAATTGGGCAGTCTTAAAATTTTAGTCTACCCTAGAATCTTAACTCTTACATCTCTGTTAATTCCAATCACCCCAATTAGTGTGGGTCATTCCCACAAGGTCAAAATTAGCAACTTCTCCAATATTGATTCCATCCCACTAATGAGTTTTAGAGTTCAAAGTTTGCATGGGAAGGAATTGCATCCAACTTGCGCCTCTGTCCCACAGCATGTCTGTCTGAGAGTTCGCTAGTCGGCCCAATCCATCACAAATTTGTCGATATGCTAGATATCCGCCAACTCCAAACAGCAGACATCCTGGTATCATGAATCCAAATAAATTCAGGATATATCCCACTGTGTGTGTCCCCGCAGGACAAATGGGCTCTCCTGTGCCCAGTCTTCTTAACCAGATCCATAGTTCGTAGATTCTGGATGTGCAAGAAAAAAATAAAAGCAGCACAAAACCAGAAGACAGAGCAGAGCAAGCAGGGTGAAAGTGGGTGGGAAGAGAGAAGATAAAAAAAAGATGCTGCAGATGCCCTTTGTCTTTCAACTCCACAGGTGGTCAGCCCAATCTCTTTGATGTTAAAAGTAAATAGAATGAACCTTTCCCATACACTGTGTGGAATCTTCTGAGACAACTGCTTGTGATTTACCAATAGATTGCAAACTGATCCCCCATTTGAGAAAGGGAAGGACTTTGTGCCACTATAATGCTGTAAATAAAAGAGAAATATTGCATCTTGCAGGCACGTTGAGTGTGGTTTCTGTGAAAATCTGCTTTGTTTGCCATCAACAAAGGTTTCATTTAAACTGGACATGAGGTTAGCTATAGGCTATGATCTATCTCCTGCATTATTCCAGACTTTGGGTTTTGGAAAAGCATTCTGCTCTCTAAACGTTCTGAGAGCAGAACGTTTAGAGATTCAGCATGTCAGCAATGATGAACCCTGGCGACGGAAACAGATATTCAGTTCCTCCAGATAAGAGGCGTGTACTTTGAGAGAAATTGCGACTGCCAGTTGGTTAGTTACTGATAAACCTCATAAAATGATTGACAAATAGGTCATGTCTATTGGCTTGTGGCCAAGCACTGAGTCAGGGTGCATGATCCAGACAGTGCAAAGTGGATGGTCAAAAATACCTTTGTTTCAGTGCTTTAATCCCACTGAATAATTGTACTCAAATCAAAGGTTTAAAGTTTTCCAACACTTTCAATGTTTAGTTGTTTTTTTATGAATTTAAAAATTTTAAAACTCAAACATGCTGGGGTTTAGCTGTAAATATTTGCTCACATAACATGAAAACATCTAGATATAGTCAGACAGATTTCATTGCCATTCAATTGTACATTTGAAAATGTACAATTTTTGAATGTACAATTAAAAGAAATGTTCCAAGACTCCAACAATAATAGATAAATAAGTAATGATAAAAGTATCAATATAAATATATACAATAAAATATTAAATTAGTGAGTGATTAATAGTCTTATGGCATGAGGGATGAAGCTGTTGTGAAATCTGGTTGTTCTGGATTTGAAGCTGCTGAACATTTTCCCAGAGGGCAGCAGGGAGAACAAACCATGGTGAGGGTGGAAGGGGATCCTTAATCATTTAACACATTGCAGCAGATCAGGATCAGTATTCTATTTTTGAAGATGGAATACTTACAGTGCGAGAAGGTGACTCTAAATCCGGCCCCACTAACTGATCCATCCGAGACAAATTTAACCCACAGGATGTGACCAGTCACAGATGTGTAGTTGGAGGGCAGCGAGGCTCCACAGAAACGACCAACAAGAGATCCAGCTGAACTGCCTTCTCGGATTTCCAGGTAGTCATTTTGACAGTCTGAGTCTCCTTGAAGGTGAAACATACTGAACAAAATATAGTTTTTAGCAACACACACAAAAAAAACAAGTAATGTATGAAATGTAGTAGGATGATGTGGTGTTATATTAGCAATGACTTAATGGGTTGTCTGATAGTAAAGACAACAAACCAAACAATTAAAAATATGAATCACTTTTTCCTTCACACTATCTGACAAAAGGGCTCTCCATATTTCAAAACTCACATAAATGAGATCTGTATACGGTTCCCTGGTGAGCTCCTAAGTGTCCAAACACATTCCATGTTTGGAGGATAAGCATCTGGATAGTTAGGGCTGTTAAATGCACCACTCTGCATCACCAGATCCCCGCCACAACCTGAGCAATTAAAACAAAAGGATTTAAGAAAGATTTTACCAATATCTCATTACCAAAGTGTGAGATTGTCTTAGTATAAGTTTGAACTGATAAAGGTTCCACTTTACTGGAGGTGGAGGCAGAATAGACAGCTCTAAACCCTTTCTTGGAGACAGAGTAATCAGAGATGAAATTGATCACCAAAGAGTTGCTGAAGGACGTCACTGGATGTGGTATTTCAAAGCCACAGTAGCGCCCTGACAAAAAAGCAAAACAAGAGTTTTATGGTCAGTTAGTAAAACCTAAATTATTTTTATTGGATAATTTAGAAAATAATGCAATCACTTTTGATAACTTTTTGGAAGTTAAAATACACCAAGAGATAGAAAGCCCTACATAGTAACGTCATGGCTTTGTAAGCTTCTGATTGTGTAATCCAATACGACCTTTGTGGGTAACACTTTATTTGAAGGGGTGTGAATAAGACTGACATGACACTGTCATAAANCCATTCAACTCACCACCTCTCTCTCTCGATTGCAGCCGTTCCGGATTTCCTGGTCCTTGTCATCCATTCTTTGCCTTGTAATTACTTGTACGTTTTGTAAATAAATTATTGCATTTACTCCTTCTCTCTGTGAGAGTTTCTGCATGTGGGTTCGACTCTTAAAACCCACCATGACATCTATGTGTCTCCTACGAGCCCAAGATGATAGGAGCTCCAGACCAGATCTCTGCTGCCTCTGAAAAGAGTAAATGTCTAGATCCTTCTCTCTTCCATGCTCCTAATTTTTTATTAATTTTCAATCTTTTTGCTGCAAGAAGTTAGAATGATTTTTAAATTGTTTTAATACAAGAATTCAAGGGCTGCACAGTGGCGCAGTTGGCAGAGCTGTTGCCTTGCAGCAAGAAGGTTCTCGGCCCTTGTCTTTCTGCATGGAGTTTGTGCATTCGTGGGTTTTCTCCAGGTACTCCGGTTTCCTCCCACAGTCCAAAAACATAACTGTCAGGTTAATTAGTCTGTCTAAATTCTCCCTAGGTGTGAGTGTGTGTGCAAGGTTGTTTGTCCTGTGTGTCTCTGTGTTGCCCTGCAACAGACTGGCGACCTGTCCAGGGTGTACCCTGCCTCTCGCCCGGAACGTTAGCTGGAGATGGGCACCAGCAACCCTCCTGATCCCAGTAAGGGACAAGGGTGTAAAGAAAATGGACGGATGGACAAGAATCCAAGGAAATAAAAGACATAACCACTATAATCCCATTAGAGAGCAAATACAGGTAATTGTTATTATTATTCAGCAGCCTGGGAAGGTCACAAACAAGAAACAAATCAGAATTTTGAGAGACATTTTGTTTTGGCTAAATAATAAAGTCCAGCTCACCTGCTGAACTGGTGAGGAGAACTTTAAAGTGAAAACATTAAAATCCAATTCAGCATTTATTTAAAATAACTTAAATAACTTTAATAAAGTTTTAATTTATCTTATTTTGGGAGTTTACATATCTTTCTGTAACTTATAAGTTTTAGAAAGTCCCAGGGTAGTATGCAGGAGTAGCTTAATAAAAACAATAATAATGAAAAAATTTGTAAATAATGAATGAGTTGTTTTTGAGATCAAAGATCATGCAGGGCAAGGAATTTGAAACACTGGCTTCCATGGCAACATATCAAAACATGAAGCAATGACAGGAAGGCATTCAGGTAAAATGAATTTAATCCTTTGTTAGTTTAAATCGTTGAGCTTGTTTTAGCTGTTTGTAGTTTGTTCTTTAAAACATCGTTATTTCAGACAAGATTTGTTACTTTCTAAAGTTGTACAAAAATATTTGTGACTAATGTGCTATAGCACTAATGCTAGCATGTCTGTCTGTGTTATGATAAAATATAAAATACATGTAAAAAGAAGCTAGTAGCCTATAACCTGTATCTTTGCGTTCCTATCGACCTATGAACAGTACGCCTTGAAGACGGAGTGGATAAGATGCTCTCACCTTCAGATGCACGCTAAAACTAAAAACAGCAAAAATACCATGTTTATTCTTACAGCTGTTTTAAAGTTTAATTTTGGACTTTTTATCCTTTGTTTTGCCTTTTTCTGACAACATTAGCATGACAGAAAGCGTTTTGTAGGGTTGCTGGTGCCGTGGACAGGTTAATTAGTAAACACAAAGCGTGTTCAGCCTCTGGCAGCCCTCCAGTCTCTTATTATTGATGAAGATGGAGTTTTGATCCACAGAAAAACCAGGAGAAACCAGAGCCTCTTCATTTTGCTAAATGACAAACAGAACCGGTGCTTTCAAAGCAAATGAATCAATGAGTTGTCAAAGCAGTAGAATACCATGTCATGGTAAAGTTTGAATGCTTTGATTTGTTAAACAGTAAATATGAAGAGTGAAAAAATATGTGAAGATTCAAGTAAAATATGAGTGAGACAGAAAATCCACAACCTAAAAATAAGCAAACAACAAATCTTTTTTTTTTTTTTTTTTCCACTGTTGTAATTTTTATATGCATCTTGTTGAGTCTTTATGTCTCATTAGATGCTTTTCCTCCATGTTGCAAACACACACATACATACTCCTGCACGTAGAATCTTGTAGTGCTGCTAAAACACATCTAGCCTACATTTACCTGATTAGCTGTTTTTATTTGATATAATAATTGCCATGTCTGTGTCTGCCGTATGGAGCGTAATGGTCTGTGTGTGTTTGCGGTGTGTGGGCGGTTGAGTGTGCAGTGATTATGTGAGCTATTAGCAGCTAAGTGGACCGGGGTCTGGCAGCGCGCCCAGTCTGTTCCCTCTGGAGGCAACAAAACCGTCTTAAGATGGGGAGAAGGAGTGGCGTTCTGTCAATGTTTGGTTTCAGCTCTGCAGACGCGTTTCAACACGTGGTGGGATTTCCTTTTTTATTTTGCTCAAACTAGTGCCAGTTTTAATAGTGTTTGCAGTGAAAATTAGTTTTATTGTTCAGAAGTTGTAAGCAATAATACTACAAATACATATAAAGCCACTACATTTTGTGCATTCAGGCTGTACAGGGTCAGTAAGACCGAAACAACTCGAGGTTAAAATTTTAAAAAAGGGTGGGACTGAAATTTAACAGTTAGTTCATAGATTCATTTTTGTCCTCTGCAGATTTAACAAAGTAGAATGAGAATCAATAAGTACTTTGTTCATTTGTCTAATGAGCAGGGATTGATCAGAACCTTTCAGTCCATCTAAAAGATTTGAGAGTCATTGTGCTAGTTGCTCTGAACCATTTTGTTGCTTGTTCCTGAAGATTCAGTTTTTAACAATCTCTGATTGGCTGAACCTCCGTAAGCAGAGATAAGGAACACTGGATGGTAGCTTCTACTGTGCTGCCAAGATGGCTTCCACTGTGTGCATTAGAGTAGCTTGTCAACGAAAAAAGAATTTCCCCTTGGGGACCATCCATCCATCCACCCATCCCCCTACACCGTTGTCCCTAGTGGGGGTCGGGAGGAGTGCTGGTGCCTATCTCCAGCAAACGTTTCAGGCGAGAGGCAGGGTACACCCTCTCAATAAAGTATATTCTATTCTACTCTAATGCAGACTAACATATATTTGGTGTTTGCAGTTGGTTGTGGTTTTAGAGGGGATACGCCATTATGGATGTGGTCCCGGACCTTGTTGATAAAGCAGTCCACTGTAAGTGTCTTGTTATGGAGTAGTGGTTAAGCTACAAGGAAGCGTTAGCACTGTATGTGACAAAGTGGTTCAGCTTGTCTTCACCACTTGTCCCTTATTCTTATTTCTGATTCACTTATTTTCTATAGTTGGTTATAATGCTTAAATTTAAACATTACTTTGCAACTTTGCTTCACTTACTATCCCGGGTTTTTTTGTACTAGCATTATGTTGCAGTTTCCATCTATTTATATGTTTAGGTTAAAGCTATTACTTCTGGATTATTGGTTGAATTGGTTTATTTTGTTTCAAGGTATATTTATGGTATTTGTTTTCCTTTTTACTCACCATTGTTTGTCCCTTGTAGATCTGGTGCAGGGCAGGAGTACGGGAGGGGCCGGCAGAATATTTCCTGCTTAAATGGCTGGATGATGTCATTGATTACCTTGTTGGGTTCTACCAATTAGAGGGTTTTCTTTTGAGTATTGCTTGGTTTGTTTTTCTTTAAAGTAACTTTTTGAGTTATCTTGTATTACATGGTTTATTTTGCAGACCATTTCATTATATAGATGAGTTTGCAAATTACATTAATAATTTTATTCTGTAACACTTTATTTGAAGGGGGGTGAATAAGACTGACATGACACTGTCATAAACATCAATAAGTCTTCATGAATATTTATGACTGTTGTCATAAAGTGTCATTCAGTAAATTATGACACTTTTAATACAAAGTTGACATTAACCAAGAAATCATGATCTGACAAATTTGTTATAAAAGTATTACCGATTAAACTTTAAAAATTAGCTTTATGTAGTAATATTATATAGCTCTGCCATGTTGTTTAGTATTAATTTTCTTAATTTAATCAATCCTAAAGTTTTACAGCAAGATGTCTACAAAGCACTTATGAAACATTTGAAGCATTTGAAACATTGTTTAAGGCTGTTTTAACCCTTGTGCGTGCGAGGACTGAGGCAAACAAAAAGAACTGTGGCAAATGATAAAAGTTTTACGTGTGTGGGGTCGGTTGGTATGAACCCCATTTCGAAACACAAGGGCTAAGTAGTGCAATACACCATCTCCACCAGTGAGAGGCAGCAGTGCACGAACAGGCGTGTAGTGTGTTGGTGAAGAAGAAATCTTCCTTAATGTGGGGAGAAGGACCTCGCCATAGACATAATATAAGGATAGACGCCTCGTGGACCGCTCTCGCCTATTGTCG